TGCAAAGCACCTTCCAGACTCTACTGAGTACAAAAGGAGTGGGGAGAGGGAGACACTCTCAGGGATCGAATTCTGTCTTATACCTCCACTGGAATCACAACTGACAGAAGAAACTCTTGGACTAGACTAGAACATGACAAAAACACAGACACATCTACCTTTCTGTCTGTTATATCACAGTCACACCTGTGTAGAGTGTCTTCTGACTCTGCTACGAGTTAAGGAATGCAATCTGAATCTGCACTGCCTGTCAGCCCTCTTCCACATCCATTCCTCCTTTTTTTATTTCTTTTTTTTTTCCCTCTGAGTATCTGCCCATAGAGTACAGCTATTCTGTGTATCCAATTTACTTGTCTGCAGTGCTTTTCATGTGTATGACTGCTGTGTGATGTGTATAAATACTGGGTGGTTTTTATGGACAAAGCCCTGCCATGTGTTGTGAGCTAAAATCAAGCTAGCAGGCATTGTCTCTGCTTAAACAAATCTAGGAGACTGTTATCTAGAGGGGAGTGTGTTCACTGTGCTGTAGTTTTCCATTAGTGTTGTACTGTTCAGTGCATATTTTAGCAATTCCTTTTCATTTTTTTGATTCCACTAGTCAGTAATTGACATTTGTTTTCTCACTGTCGTGACCTCAGGCCTGGAGGCTTAGCTCTCATTGCAGTCAGCTGCCATCACTCAGCAACTAAAAACTTCCTGCTTAAATGGGTAAATATTATTGAACAAAACGTGTAAACCCTCTTAGGCTTCAAAGGAATGAAAGTTAGAGCTGCTTCTGTTATTGTCAACAAGCCCTTGTATATCCAGGGCAAGTGAAGATGGGAATCTGATATTTTTCTGAGTCTGTTACAGGCTCCAGTAAAGTCACTTGTGCTTACCAGTTTAGGTTTATTTTTTTCCTTTATGTATATAGTCAAACAGCAGTAAATGCCCAGTTTACAGACCAGAGCTGGGAACAGCTCAGTGAGCTGGTTCCGTGGCCCGGGACGCTCTCTGGTTTGTCCCCTTTGCCTGGAATTCCTACTACTGTTCCTAAAAACTAGATAAATAGGTGTTAACTTACATGAGACTCCAGGGCAGTGCAGATCGAACCCTGGGACTGTATTTAGTCTACTTGTGTAACTGTCAGTACCGCGGTATGTAGAAATAATAGAAAAATATTAAAGAGCAGACTTTTCTTCCTAGGATTAATTTTTTTGATTATCTTGTATTTATTTATGTGAAAATTAATCTATGACATTTTAATGGCTTTCATTACAAAGTTTGCAGTATACCCACTTGTTATTTCATATTCTGCAGTGATTAATTAATGTAGCTAAATTCATAGGGAAGGTTCTCAGCTATGATTGCTACAGTCTTTGAAACCGAATTCTCATAATGAAATAGTCATAAGCTATGAGTCATTTAGGAACAGTTTCTTTAGGGAAACTGACTTTCAGGCAGAGAATCTGTTTGAAAAAATTCTTTTTCAATAATTTTCTTCTCTATTGAGTTAGTCTTCAAATTAGATTTTGTAGATTCATCATTTAGAAATTAATTCATACTCTGTAGTGTGTGCATGCATTCACTCAGTGTAGAACACAGAGGAGAGGCAGATATTCTCCAGACACAGAAAAATTAAAGTATCTCAACAAATACTTACAGTGACATCTTTTTTGGAATACCTCAGTTCTGCTTATTAGGAACAGTCGAGTATTTGTATCCCATGCCTTGATTATAATTTCTAAAATAATTTAGAATTTTTTTCCTGAAAATTCATTTCCGTGAATTTTTGATACTACAAGCCAATCACACATATCTGGTGTGAAAATGTAAACACAATGGTATGAAAATACCATCAAAATAAGCACATGTAAACAACTGAGTGCTTTCCAACACTTGCCCAGTTGTATTTTACAAATAACACTGAATCCATTTCTGTTAATTTTGTGTCTACTGGCTGAATTTAATACAATAATTTAATATTCTCCACATGTTTGTTCAGCTCTTTAGATTTCAAGGGATTTGTAAGAAATGTATATTTAATTCAGACTAATACGGTGATGGTAAATTCTTATTCTGTTTTCAGTATTTGCCCAAAAATTTGATTTCTACAGTAACCAGCATGAGAATACCAATGAAAACAGGTAAAAAAGATTAGAGAAAAATAATGAAAATTATTGGTTTGTTATTTCTGTTCTGTAAGCTTCTCAAGTAATTCAGTAGAGTGATGCCTCCCTAAGTCAAATGGTAGCATTTGCACATGCATTTCTTGAATTCCTTATGAAACCCCCTGGTTCTTCTAGCATACAGACAAACTTTTTACAATTACTTACAACGCAGTAAAATATGTCTTAGGGGGATTTTCAGTAATGGAACATAGGTGACATGAGGAAATTTAAATCTTACTGAAGTCTAGACTTACTTGTATGGAAAAGATTATAGATAGGGAGGAAGTAATTTGAAAAATGTTTTCATATTTTGTTGCTGGGACTGGTTGAGTCTCTTGGTGATGGCCCAATACTCATGAATTTATTATTTGGATGTAAATTTAACTCCGTAAAAGAGACAAAAGGTATGAATAACTATGCACATCTAGTTCCATCTCCAATGTGTTTCCTTTGGTATTTTAGTAGTTTCCTGGGTTCAGAGTCCATGTGAAAAGGAAAGGCCAGTTCAAGTGCTGTGTTCTTAAATGTAGGAGTTGTTTAAATATGACATTAGACAAAAATTAAATTGCTTTAGGTTTCAGAATGACAGCTAGTGTTAGCTTCTTATATTTATGTATTTAATTCACACATTACTAATTCCCTTTTTTGTCAGCTATTAGCTGTGAAACAGTTTGAGGAAAATTTAAGTCAGTTCCTATATTTGGTTATTACATTTCCATCCTAGAAAACAAAATAAAAAGGGAAAAAATCTCTCTCTCAACCCTTATGGAAGAGTTATATAAAACTGTCAGTCCTGAGTACACTTGTTAACTTGAAGTTCTGTCGTATCACAAGCTTCTCTAAATGTATTTGTTTTATTCAGGTGCACTTCAAATGGTTCCCATGTAGTAACTGTTCCTTGGAGAATGGAAAATTTGTTCTCCAATTAATCTTGCTGCTCTTCCCTCTTTCTTTTCTCCTTTATTTCTCTAAGTGTGTGTTTTTATATTTTATATCTTATCAAACCGATACAAATGGAATTCCAGTTTTGATTACATCAGTTGTTGCAGAGAAGTGAAACTGCAGAACCATCTGTCAGTTGACCAAGTTTAGCTCAGTTGAGTTAGGAAAATTTTCTCATAGATTGAAAATATCTTTTTTTTTTTTTAATGGAATATTTACTTCCCTAGAAGAGATTATAACAGTTTTTAAAACAGCACTGAAAACTCTTCCTTATCAAGCATTTTGACTACAGGAAATGTGTGAGTTCCAACTGCTTGTGCTAGAGAATTGCATAGACTTGTATTTTGATTCATAACAATGTTGAAAACAGTCCTGTGGTCTAGAGTTAACATCCTTTCCTCTTATCTTCCACTTGACAAATTTTGATATAGCAAGTAAATATCTCTCTGTTAAAAGCAGTGAAACATTAAAGTGCACTGTGTAAAGCTGTAGATTATAAGGGTTGGCTTTATCAGCTTGCCTGATTACTTCTAGTGCGTGCAGCTGAGAGCCCACTAAGAGCAGTAACTGACCTCCTTCACTAATTCAGTCATTATTCCTTTTAGGTGAATCTCAGGGATAAACAGTTAAGTGGGTGGTGATTACATTATACACCAAAATGTGTGCCATTTTACAGTAGAATAAACAGCTTCAGACAAATATGATGAAAGTGCTTCGGGGAAAAAAACCAGAAGCTGTTTACTCCAACCTTCCTGAAGTCACAGAGCCACAAAGGAAAAATTGTGGAATTCTCTTTGCATTTTATCCACAACAATGTTATGCAGCAGGAACCACCTCATCTCCTCATTATTTCTCTTTTTTATTTGAAAATGAGTCTGCTAATATCTTCTTACATTAATTTTTGTTAACTGTTAATAGATTCTGTGTTTTAAATGTCATCTACTGTTGACACTTTGGGCCATACTTTGCAGAAATATAGTTAGGAAGTGCTGTGACTGACTTACACATACGAGTGGAAATTTCTGAGGAGGGTAGTATTATACTCAGATTAAATCCTCTTTAATTTGTTTGAAGTTACTGGTGCCACACCTGATATTATTAAAGTTACAAAGCCCGAATTGTTTAAGAAGTCACTTAATGTCTACATTGATGCTTACATTTTAAGATGTTTAATTATCTGCCTAACTTTTTGCATGGAAAAGTGGCTTTGTTAAGTGGTGAGTTAAAAAATGTCGCCATCAAGATGTCCCTCTGCCACCACATGTTCAGCAATGCCTATCAGCAGGATATGCACTAACAAGATAACTTGGGTCCAGCCCACCCTGATATGATCTTAGTGGAGCATTGTTAACTCTCTAAAGACTGTGTATATTTTCTCTAAATGTCTAAATATACTTATGACAAATCTACTTTTTACTATTCAAGCAAGAGGATTGAGGGTATTGAAAGACATCCTTAAAATCTCATCTAAATCTCCCAAAAGGGTCTCCTGGAAAGAATCTGGTTTACTTGTGTGGAGTCAGGCACTACATTTTTAGAAGGCTGGCATCAACATTCCAGCTGCATGTCCTCCCTTCCTCTTAGTTATTTCTTCCCTAAGCAAAGCTGAAAACCCCAACCCGTGTAACTAGAACCACTTGTGACCAAAACCAATGACAAATGTGTATCATTACAGAACATTATGTGTATTATTGCACAACATTATATTATATAATATGTATACCTAATTTATTGCATTTTTTAGGACATTGAGATGTCAAATCTTACACTTATAAAACAGCCAGATGCTAGACAGTGCAAATCTTACTTTAATATATTATAAAGTTATATAGTAAGCCCACTGCATGGGCTTCACATGCAGATAAACCCAATAGTTACATAAATAATATCAAATGACAAAACTAGAAAGCAGTTTCTGCATACTTTATTTTACAATTCCTCACTAAATATATTTACAGGACACAGAGTTTGCTTTAGTGCAATACATAGTAATGTTGCATAAGTACAAACTGTTGAACATTTCTAAAAAAAAATTAAAGAAATAAAGCACTTAACTGATGTTACAGCTAAGTATGTAAAGCAACGTTATAACTCTGAGTGAAAATGCTCACAGCATCTTTTCTTTTCATAAACAATTTCTAGAAACAAACCACAAACCAACATTACATATCCCAAACTACCAACCCTTGTACAGTACCATATCATTTAAAAAATGACTTTTTAAAAGCACATATACTGTACTGTACAGCAGTCTGTTCTACAGATACTGACTTACTCTTTTAATACAAATATGATATTACCATGGCAGTTTTGAAGAACAAAGTTATCTCAAGATATCAAACATCAGTAACAAACTCTGGTAAGCACAGCTTCTTGAGGACCTGCTTAAACAGCATTTCTTCACAGTGATATTTATGAAAGGTTGGAAAAGAGATTAGCATAAAATATTTCCATCCTTTTTCAGTTTTTATGCAAAAATCATTACTTTATATTGGTAATTATAAAATTACAAACACTTTCTATAAGTAACTGCATCTGTAGTAATGATAGAAAAAGTTATCAGTAAGACACCTAAAATGAGGCTTGCATAAAATGACAGTTTGAAGAAAACTAGGTACCTCATTTTTAAAATAATGGTAAAGGAGGTAACTTAATTTAGAATAAGCAACACAGTAATTTAACAGAGACAATCTATTAATCAATTAAAAAAACTAATTATTTATTAATAAATGTTAAAAAATAAAGGAATTGTGATGAGGTGAAATCAACATTTCAAAAGATATGATGAAACATTTACTCTTAGTTTTGGCACTTCATTGGAACAATTACTTTACCAAAGACCAAAATATGTATAAAAGATATACAGCTCCTTGACATACCTTGCAAATATAGTACATAAGTACTGGCAAACACTGAAAACATAGTTAGTTAAACATTCCCACAGATTTGCACATGCATGCACTATTCAGACAACAGCATTGTATCTATGTTCTGGCGGTGACAATCTTGCATTACTTGGGGATTTTAGGCCGTTTCTTCAGCAGATCTTGTTTCTGTTTTAAGTCTCACAAACTCTTTAGCAACTTCGTCATTGTTCCTCTGAGAAAGTATTCTAAGGATGGTGAGCCCAGTCTCATCTACGGAGATGTTTCTCAGCAGGGGGTACCAGGAGGCACAGCTTCCTTTCTCAGCGATGTTTTGCAGCTGAATGACTGTCATCCCGATGATTCGGTCTTCCCGAGCAAAGCAATAATCTTTCACTGAGAGGTGAAGTTCGTAGGCTCCTGGCTTATCTTCGTTACTCAGCGTGCTGTGTGGATGAAAAAATGTGAATTTAGAACAAGGAGTTCAGTTTAATTTTCCCCAAGGGATGAATTCACTGTAGAAATCTTGGAAAAATGAAAGTGATGGTGGTAGTTTAATTTTGTAGTTCCATTTTGTTGCAACAAATATCATTTAGTTTTAAACTTCCCACACAGTTAACTTTTCAGATGCTACTGGTGATGTAGCTTCTGTTTCCACTGATCTGAACAGGAACAGAGAATTTGTTCAATGTCTGAAATAGGTAGTTACCTTTCCCTAGAAAGCACATAAAATATTCAACTAGTTCTACAACTGTCAACACCTCAACTTTTAAAAATATAAAGAAAATCACTGGCAACAAACATCAAAAGTAGCTTTGTGGTCAGACACAGCAGTTGAACTCATTCCCAGTCAGGGCTGAAGGATAAGAGGATGAAAATAGATTGGTCTCACTTATAAAAGGGGAGGAGGAGTAAACATTGAGAAGTGCTGTGAGAAGTACTAAATTTAAAACTCCAGGTTAGGTGAAAGTTTCTAGCAGTTTTAAGGATTAAATTATAACAGCATTAGATAAACAGTACTGGTAACAATGTACAACCCTTTACATATTTAGATAGCTCTACAGTCATAAAGCCCCAGATACGTAGCAGTAATAATCAATGCTTCAGTCCAAATAACTACTGAGGCCAATGGATTCCGAGGTATAAAAACAGTTATTCCTCTACAGGGAAATGAATTATACATTTTAACCAGCTTTTTCAAGACTGAGAGCTTAGTGGCTGCCATTCATCTTCATATAAACTAAGATACAAATCAGTAAATAATTTTGAAATGGTGTCTATATCTATGGATTTTGATTTGTATAGCAGCCTTAGGATGGGGTTTTTATGTTCTTACTGATTTAACGGCAAAAATTTGCACAAAATATGCAATTAGCAGACAAAAGAGACTTACAATTGAAAAGTTTCATTGTATTTTGGTGACCAGGTGTTGCTCTTTGTCTTGGTTCCGTGTTTTCTTTTCTTGTCACTTAGTTTAGGACCTAACATGCAAACCTCCACAAATGGCCGGAACATGGCTGTTGTTTGCCAGTTTAGATTATTAATTGCCACAACTACAAAGAAAGAAAAGAAACAAAGTTAAATAAAATTCCACTGGAGGAGTTCCAATTAATTACCCTGCATGACTTTGTATAGCCAACAAAAGGTGACCTGAGAACTTTCCTATAGGATACCAATACCTGGCAAGCCCAGGAGGAGCTTTGCCTGTTCACTGCCAAGTAAAGGTGTCTGGCTACTTTTGAGCTCAACAGTATCAAACATAAACGTATGTTTTACAAATCCTTTACATTTACAGCTTTTTATTTTTTTTTTTGCCTGCTACCTTCACTGTAATTAAAAAATCAGCTTATACTAATCTCAGTGATACTGGGTTTCTCTCTGAAACTCAGGTTGTGCAGAACAAAAACATTTTGTTAAAAAGGCAAATTCTTAATACTTAGTGCAGTCATTCACCACCCAGCTTTGCTGCAGATTTTAGAGAGTTAAGTGATATGCAAGCAATACAGAGGATATTTTGACGCATTTTACTTTATAGCTCCAGCTTTATAACTTAAATTTTAATGGTCTATACAGAGAAGCACAGACAGTACTTAAGTGCATAATCTGGACTTCTGCTGATGTTGAGAAAGGAAAAAGTACATTCCCAATCACCTGAAGCACACTCACAGCTTCACAAGTACTGTAATACTTAACATTTGTTATTTTATTATTGATATGTTTTATTTAGGATGTAGTGCTTGGGGGGTTTGCTCTTTGTTCTTGTTTTCTTTTTAAAGGTAGCTGCTGGAAACGTACCTTTTACAGTGACTTTATGCTCTCCAGTTCCAGGATGTGTGGAGACATCCACTTGTATAGATATCTCACCCACAGAATTATTAGCAGTTTGAGCTGAAACAATAATTAATAGGTTAGCACATCTGGCTTCAAGAGAAATAGTGGAAGTTGAGTGGTATTTTCTGCCAAAAACACTTAGAAATTTCTGACATGTGTTTTACATTTAGGTGTGAATCAGTTACAGATTCATAAGTGATTTTGCCACAAAAGTACCTGGCAATTGCAAATGTCTCTGTAAAGTGCCTCTAAAATAAAATATTCTGTTCATCTGGAACTTTCCATTTTTGTTGTCATCAGATGTGTTTGTATCTTGAAATGCAAAAGTTTTGTCAAATTTTGTTTCCATGTTCACCCCAAAAATCTTATTGACAGTACGCATTTGGAAAGTTACTTCTGCGTTGTTATTGATTAATCCTTTTCTGGGGGTTATGTCTCGGCAAGGTATTAAAGTTCTGCAGTAGCACAGACAGAGAGGCTTAAAGAAAAAAAGAAGAAGGTTGAAGGGATGGCAGAGGAACCAGGAACTTTAATTTTTAAAATTTTTCCTTTTGACCACCAACAGAGGTTCTAAGTCAACTTGCACAGAAAGATTCTTTAAAAGGATTCTCAGTATGTACTGAAAAGTTGGATTAGAACAGTACAACATAAACAAAATTGGATGTGTTTACTTGTTTTTTGCTTGGATGACTCTCAGTGCTGAATTCAGTGAGCTGCACTTGTGTCCCAGTGTAATCTCTGTGAACCACAGACTAAAGCAAATTACTGCCCCTTTAAAAGGCTACTGTTTCTGTGGGTAGCAGAGGAATGACTCTGTCTGCCTTCTATTTATACAGAAATTCCTTAACCACTGGCTCTCCATCTATCTATATGTGAGGAGAATCAAACACACCTTTAGAAGTTTTCCAGCAGTTCATACAGAAATTAAGGAAAGGGTAGGGAGAAGAGTGTCTTATGTAATAACAAAGAGGGAAATGATTTCCCCCCATAAATTAGTTTATACCCAGAATATTTTTTGTTCCTTTATCATACATAGTTTGTTTGGGTTTTGTTTTTGTTTTTTTTTTTTTCTTCTTGATTTCCTCATCAGTGGCTTCCTAGAAAGGGGTTCCACAGTGCTTTTTATTAATTGTGTTGGAGTGATCTGTAATTACACTGTCTACACTGGATGAACATTGCAAAGCCAATTAAGTGCTCTTACCCCAAGTATTACTGCTTCAGAGAACAAGTCTGGTTTTTTTTTTCCTGATAAATCAAAATGTGGAAATTCAGTAATCATTTAACATGCTCAGAACCTTGAATGTTTTTCTGCATTTTCCAGCTTTCAGGTGAATTTGGCTTGGAATTGTAATAAATCCACTTTTGGAACATAGTCAACAGTGTTTCAGTAAAAATATACAGTCTCAATATCTTAATGTAGCTATAGCTGCCACTTCTGAATTGTACTAATGTACATGTACTGTACGTGTAATGTACATTAGTACATGTACTAATGTTGCTGTTAGATGTATTTTAGTAAAAGGCAGAGGGTTTGGACCACTACTGGCACGGAAAAAAGCAATTTATTAGATATCAGAGTTTTAATGACAAGCAGTTGTGTTTCAATGACAACAATTAAGTTTACTTTTGTATTTGCATAATTACTTAAAGCTACACTATATAGAATCTTTAAGATGGTGAACCATTCTTCATCTTGCTCACAATAAATAACATATAATTTTTTTAAGAACTTATATAAAAATTTAGGAATCAAATGGACTAGAAAAGCTAAATAAAATTAGTAGAATGGCTTTATTTAAAAGGATAAACAAAAGTATTACCCAACTACAGTAAAATTTACTTTTATTTGGGAAGAGAAAGGGAAATCTCTTTGGTCAAGGTCATAAATTTAACTCTGATTTTCTTTTCTCTTGCAAACAGTGTCCTTAGGCCATGTATCTGTGAGTAGCATGTTTTTCATGGAGTTACATTTAACCCACGGTGCTGACTTGTGTGAAAAAGCCTTCCCTTACATTATTGTGGATTAAATGAAGACAACACCTATAATTCAGAAGGCATCTTATCCAGGGTAGAACTCCAGTACTATACATAATACATATTTATTTATAGGGTATTCTTGTTGGCTTTTGATGCTGTAAAGTAAATCAAAGAAAGTAGAGACTGGAGGTGTTGGAGCATTAGTCTGTCTTGCAAAATCCCACCTTTTCAAATTGTTACATAGTGCATGGAATTCAAACTTAATGGGTTCTTTTTGTGGTGGTGAACATTTTTACGAGCAATGCTCTTTATTCCATGGATAGCCTTCCTTCAGCTCTGAAGTTTCAGTTGAACATACTGTAACTCTTCAGTTTTTAATCTTTTGTTCTGATTAAAAAGCTCTCAATGCCAAGTTGGACAGGAGAAAAGAACTAGGAATCTGGAACACTTATATCTTAGGGACACTAAATGTGTTGGATAAACTGAACATGCTGAGAGAATGAGAAGTTGTTGAACTCTGTCTCAATCACAATTAATAATAATTTACTTCTGAGTGCAGTGGAAGGTGAGTTAGACCGATCCTGAATATCGCTGAAAATATCAGCCAGTGCAAATTACTTGTTTTAGCCTCTAGCTTAAAAAAAACCCAAACCAAACCCTGGTCAGGAGAAATCAGGAGTGTTGTAAAAGAAAACAATTAGCATTTTTATTAGATAGCTTAGGCAGCAGCCTGTGGAAGATGATAATAGTGGAGTGTGCTGTGTTAACCTCTAATGCCATGTATGATTTTACCAAAACAAAAATCTATGAATCTGTAAGATAAGGCTTGTTCTCTTTCTCCAACTTTTTTATTAACTTATGCAAAGTATATTCTTGCAAAGGTCTTCTAACTGATCTCCCATTCCTTTTCCTAGTAGACCATAATTAACAACACTGCTCTAAGCAGTACCACAAATATATGGTGGGATTAGCCCTGTGTGCACAGTTCTGCTCGATACAGTTATAAAGAAATCTGTGCAAAACGTCCCATGGTTTTATACTGAAAGCAGCTGACATTAAAATGATCCTACATTCAGTATTGCTGAGGAAACCTTCTGCAGCAGAATGTCTCAGCCAGCAGAGACAATTTCCAGTGGAGTCTAGAATATAAAGTTGGTTTCTTTCACCCCATCCACCTTTCTCTCTCTTTCTGACCTGCGGAGCAAACTAGAGATACAATTTTAGGACATTCAATATTTGCTTAGGGTGGCTCTTCTTGATGTTCAAGAACTGTGGCACCTCATTTTAAAGTCCCTGATCTGCCTATTTCTGCTGGGTTTTATTTTCTTTCTTGCTGTTAGTTCTTGTAAAGTCACAGCAGGAATTAGTGATTCTGATTGCACTATAGAAAGGTCCATTTATCCTACCACATCTAATAAGCCAATTTAACTGACAGTAAATATCTAGCCCTTCACTGCAGAGAATGACTGCACCTTTCTTTCTTTAGTGCTGTAATATAACTAATTCAAAGATTAACAAACTTATAAATGATTCTCCTTTGAAAACCTTATGCACCTTTAACTATTGCTGCTTGCACTCTAATCTCTGTTTTACAATTAATTTGTTAGGATATTCATGTGATTCAAAATACATTATCCTCTCAAAGTGGTCAGCTACGTTTAAAGTGCAGTTATTCTTTTGCAGCAAACAAACTGTAAAGGAAAAAAAATCTCCTCTAGCCAAAGATGCTTGCTCCTCAGAGAACAAAAAGTCAGGCTTTGATTCCTCCTTATTTAGCATCTGGAATGCCATCAAAGTGATGGCTGTTATAGCCTTAATGATTTTGACAGAAGACAGACATTTTGGACTAAGCCAAATATTTCTTAGTCATGATAATCATATTGGCTACATATGCAGAGAAACAAATTCCCCTGCCTTCTACTCCTTTCTAGGTACCTTTGGAGAAGTGTGAACTTGTGGACTGTTGTGGACTCTGGTAGATAAAACAGCAGAAAATCCAAGGGGGGAAATGGGTCATGTATATTTTGTAAAAATAAAACAGAATCTCCCTGTGTTTTCTAGGATGATATTCCTGCTAAAGAGAATCCTAGTGAATCAATCTGTGATTGTGCACAAAAGTACATTACTGTGGAAGGGTTCCTTTGTCCTCCTTGATCCTTTAGCAGCAAGAAGTTTTCAAATGAGGAGTACTTCAGAAAATAAATTCTAGGTTTGCATGATAAAAGACCCCAGCAGAAATAAATGGGATTCACAGAGGATGAACTAGCATAAAATTTAAGAACAGAATTTCAGGCCTTGAAATAGGAGAAGCAGTACATCTGGTGGAAGGTACTTTTCAGCTATTCTGGAAGTTGAGGCATGGAAACTGGGATGCTTTCATGAGTTCTTAAATAATAGAAAATATTAAGAGTAGTTAGGTTTGGAGGCTACAAGGAGCATTGGCATGCAGCATGGACCTCAATGAGAGTGACAAAATGAAGCTGAGAAGCTGAGGTAATGATTGTGCTGTTCACAGGTCTCAGCTCTGACTCTCCAAACACCACAGTTATGCTGCTGTGAATAGTTAAGAGAGCAGAGCTTGTACATAATTACTAATGTATCATTTCATGATATGGAACATCATCTGCCTTATGTATTATCTTATGATAGCAATTCTTTCATTTGAAACAGCTTTCAGATCTTTTGATATTCATCTTCCTGTTGGTAGGCTCACATAAATCCTTAAATTTAGAGAAGGCTTTATTTGAGAGTCTGTTTCTCACAACATAAATGATAAAAGACAGCAGCAAATTGTGTGTCTTGGAGAGTGAGAGAGATGTTAAGGACATGCTTGCAAAACAAGAATTCTTTTTCTGCTGCAAAGTTATCTAGTAGCAAAAGAGAAGAATAATGGAGTGTTTTTGTCATTCTTCACCTGTGGACATATTATTTTTGTTTCATCTAATAACAATCACAGCTTTCAATAACACAGATTTAATTCCTTTTCCTTGTCTTTTTTCTTTTAATTTTTTTTTTAATGCTGTATTCCAGAAGCATTAATTGATAAAGTGTTTGTGGTCTATGCAGTGCCCATTCTTGTT